CCATAAGGCGGCCACCAATGGTGGCCCTTAAATTTGGGGTGGCATTTTGGCAATTGGCTGCCGCCCTCCGGCGCCCCTGATCGGCTACTACATCGCCAGCGCCCAGCTCAGCCCACGGTCCGTCCCAGGAAGAAAAGGAGTCTGTTTGGCTACGAGGGAGAGGATGAGCCTGTGACTGACCCTCAGCAGAAATTCAAAGTACATTCCTTTAATCAGATTCTTGATTCTGCTATCCAGACCGTCAACGAGCGCTTTACGCAGCTCGAAGAGCACAGCAGTGTTTTCAGCATCCTGTACAACATCCCCACCATCAAGGACATGGACACTGCAGCGCTTACAAGGGACTGTGCAACACTGGAGAGGGCCCTTACGTATGGGGATTCCAGGGACATTGAGCTGTATAATGAGCTCAAAGTCTTGAGCAGGAGACTGGACAGTGAGGCAAAACCACTTGACGCACTGGAGTACATATCCAGACACCAAATGGCCTCCTTGTATCCCAATGGCTTTGTTGCCCTGAGAGTTCTTCTCACACTCCCGATGACAGGCAAGTGGAGAGCGCACATTCTCCAAGCTCAAACTCATCAAAAACAACCTGTGCTCTACTTTGAGTCAAGAGAGACTCAATGGACTCGCCACCATATCAATTGAGCACGAGTTGTCTTACAAAATCATCCTCCAAGAAGCAGTGCATGCTGTTGCTGCCAGGAAGACCAGGCGAGTCAACTTGGCGAGGCAACTTGGCTTTGAATAAAAGGTAAACGTTGATCATACACTCACATTAATTCTATCACCGAGTAATTTGTAAGATTACTCAATTATCTATCGCCTGTTAACTTTGTATTTTTTGTTCTCTCTCTCTCTCTCTCTCTCTCTCATATTTCAGGACCATGGACAGCTACCGAGAGAAACCATCACTGACTGCAATGTAGCACCACAGCAGAGGAAAGAGGCCACTCTAGGCGGGCCACAAAATAAATAAATAAATGCTGAAACTGATGATGGACAATCAAATTCGATATGTAAATAATTGACATAAAGCTTTTTTACACTGCTCCAGCAAAATGAAGCTCAAATGATCTCACTCTTTTTTTTACAGTTCTACAGGAATATTACATTATATGCTCAATATGTTAAATAAAAGTGTTATTTTTATTGTAATTGTAACAATTGTGGGGTTGTGCCATGTGTGATAACAGGTGGTATATTATTAGTAAGAAACTCGGTTTCCTACTATAGGCAGTTGGCTGCATAGTGATTGCAACATTGTAATTCTCCGATGCAGGGGTTAAAGTAAAATTCCCTTCTGCTTGGTAAGGGACCTCCTATATGTGCACTCGCGCACCAACATTTCCTATTGGCCTAATCATAGAATTACATATAGAATTGGAGACTATTTCTTCCTATTCAAAAAAATAAGTGGTAAGCCTACCTGTTTGATAGACACAATTATGTTATCCATAGATGTCGGTATAGCCAAATCCTCCAATACTGCCACATGCACTCCTTAAATACCTCCGTGTCTGGGAAGGGCTTGGTGTGTTTGGTTAAAACCAAGGCTCAAATTGAGTGAGGGTAACACATACCCTTTCTTAAAGGAGTGAGGGTAACACATACCCTTTCCTGCCTGACCTTCAACTCGCAAGGTATGTTGTCCTTGGCTCCGTAATTTGTCAATATAAAACTGTGGTACTGTTACACAAAGTGCTGTCACGCAACTATAGGTTTTGTTACAATGTGGACAATATAAAGATTTATGTTAACAAGTTTCACCGAGCTCGCTAATTAGGGTACCTATTGTAACTTGTGAGTACTTGGGACAGTGTTTGAGTGAGTGTCCATGTGCTCATGCAGGTGCCCGAGAGCTGTGACTGCACCAAGGGCTAACATATTGTGTGTTGTCTCTTCGTATGCAGGGCAAATAAAAAGAATCCAACCAGCAGACCTCCAGTTGTGGCAGTGTCCTAATTAAAAGTACACAACGCAGAACGAACCACGCTACACTTACATTTTTCTGCATCAGTAGAGCCTCTGTCTGGGTGGAAAGGTAACTTTTTAAAGTGCAATGCTTAGATTCATAAGGATGTCTAAGATGAAATTCTTTGCAAACAGCGTTGCAAACAACACACTCTGGTTTGACATTGAGAAATACGGTAAGAATGTCTATTTCTCTGTCCATTCTTCCCTGAAACTTCTATTTTCATTATCCACCTTTCTTTTTAGTCTTTTTCAGCACAACATTTTCTATTGACTGCAAGCTGTTTTTCCCCAATCAACGCACAAAGCAATATAAAAAACGAATTTAACAGAGACATTGGTGATTTTATCAATGTAATCAGATTGAAAATATTATGCTATGTTATTGACATTGAACTGATTATATAGCCTACTAACCAGATGTGTTAAAAATTGTGTTTAATTTGTAGCATAGGCCTATTAATTGGGCTGCAATTATGTTCTGTTCCTGCGACTTTTAGCTGAGAAAGAGTTTGGGGTCATTTAGAAATGTCCTTGTTTTCAAAAGAAAAGCAATTTTTCTGTCTATTAAAATAACATCAAATTGATCAGAAATACAGTGTAGACATTGTTAATGTTGTAAATGGCTATTGTAGCTGGAAACAGCTGATTTTTTATGGAATATCTACATAGGCGTACAGAGGCCCATTATCAGCAACCATCAGTCCTGTGTTCCAATGGCACGTTGTGTTTGCTAATCCAAGTTGATCATTTTAAAAGGCTAATTGATCATTAGAAAACCCTTTTGCAATTATGTTAGCACAGCTGAAAACTGTTGTGCTGATTAAAGAAGCAATAAAACTGGCCTTCTTGAGACTAGTTGAGTATCTGGAGCATCAGCAATTGTGGGTTCGATTACAGGCCAGAATGGCCAGAAACAAAGAACTTTCTTCTGAAACTCGTCTCTCTATTCTTCTTCTGAGAAATGATGGCTATTCCATGCGAGAAATTGCCAAGAAACTGAAGATCTCGTACAACGCTGTGTACTACTCCCTTCACAGAACAGCGCAAACGGCCTCTAACCAGAATAGAAAGAGGAGTGGGAGGCCCCGGTGCACAACTGAGCAAGAGGACAAATACATTAGAGTGTCTAGTTTGAGAAACAGACGCCTCACAGTTCCTCAACTGGCAGCTTCATTAAATAGTACCCGCAAAACACCAGTCTCAACGTCTGTGAGGAGTGAAGAGGCGACTCCGGGATGCTGACCTTCTAGGCAGAGTTACAAAGAAAAAGCCATATCTCAGACTGGCCAATAAAAAGAAAAGATTAAGATGGGTACATACTTTTGCAGAGATAGGAGGGGGGCGGCAGTTTTTTGTCTCGCCTAGGGCGGAAGAACGTCCAGGGCCGGCCCTGTGTTGAGGCGCTGACCTAGTTATTTAGAGTGCTGCCCCTTGCCTTTGTGTTCAATTGGCTATGTAATGACGGAAGAGCACTGATATTTAAACATGACAAGAAATAACCATACTGTGAAATAACCGCTTCAATGCTAATCATTGGAGATTGGCTGAAGAAATAACAGTTGGATGCACTTTTCTTCACATTATTCACACAGAAATTCCATTATGGTAATTCGGCCACTTTATAGAACCGGAGCATCTCAATTTAGTTTGGTCATCACTAGTTAACACAGCCACAAAGTCATAAACCGCGCCTATTCGTACAATTTATCTTCTAAATTTTTTTTTTTTTTACCTAACCTTAACCACACTGCTAACCTTATGCCTAACTCTAAGCTTAAATAAATGTTTTACGATATAGTACATTTTGACTTTGTGGCTGTGTTATCTAGTGGAAACCATTTAGTCTTGTTGACACCTCGAAGTCCTGAGGGACAGGGCAACACAGCCATATTTAAGTGATAATGCCCGAGAAGCCAGTGTTTAGAGGATATATTGGCACGGGTGTTGTTAGCAAACCGTGCCAATATATCCTCCAAACACCGGTCTCGAGGGCATTATCACTTTTATACAACGGGTTACCAACATATTCAAATAATGATTTACATATTTTAATAAAAAACGTTATTTTGATTAATTTATTCATACTAATTCATCCTTCCACAAGATATAGTCCCGACACAAATCTAGGGTTGCTATACAAGCCGGCTGGTCATTTGTTCTATCGGTTCGGTTGCCAGAGACACACGCGACCCAGTCATTCAGTCTTTTTGTTATACATTTTCCATTGCCATACTGGCTGGCAACGTTCTTATCCCTTGCTTGCTAGCTAGCCAACTACGGCTAACTTACTGTCACGTCAAACAGTGCAGCCAGAATAGCAACAGTAGCTGCATTTGCATTTGTTTAAGTTGTTTTCTAGTGACATTTATTTGGATAGATCCATAACAATGAGCTAATGAGGCGTGATTTCGCCTGGCATATAAAATGTGCTCACTCGTCAGGACACTATTGTTCAGAGGAGCTAGACAACAACACAGCTAACACAATCACTTCAAATTGAAGTTGGACAGACTGCAAACTAGCTGCACTTCGTTTCGTTTTACCTGTTTTCTATTTATAGTTCTTTGTATATATCCATAAAAATGATGCCAGCTGATTCATGATTTCGACTGGCTGAGAAAAGCTGCCTGCCTGTCTGTCTCATCCCGACTCCTGACACGTCCATTACTATGGGACAGCTGGAGAACAGAGTAAATAGGCATTTTAAAGTCATAGATTTAGCCGGTGTTAACCTGTGGAATAGACACCGGCTGGAATGCGGTTTTAACCAATCAGCATTCAGGATTAGAACCACCCGTTGTATAAATACTCCGTAATGACACTCTGTGACAGGACGCAACTCCGGGACATATGGCGCTGCCAGCTGCCAACAGCTGTAACGGCATGTATTAATGGCCAGGCAGCCAGTGGTGTAAAGTAATTGACTGGCCACCAAGGAAGGCCTATAAAGGGTAGGATACAGGAGAGCTGTGTGCTAAGATCTTAAAAGTTACAGTGATGAAGGTGAAGATTGTACTGTACTACAGTACCTTGTTCATAGTGTCGACTGTAAGGGCGTGGGTCCAGAAGCAGTCGTGGACGGAGACGAACGTCAGGCCGGCGCTGGAGGAGCACACAGAGTAGAGACATGAGACATAGGGCTAGACGCCGTGGAAGGAAATTGTGGTGGAAACTGTACACCGTAATATGAGGTTACACAGCCTGTGAGACATACTGAGATTTGAATCAACGTGACATACTATGACAACAGTTTATGGGATCAAACAGAAACTGTTATTCAGATGGGTCTTGAGAGCAGACAGTGTATCAGCTGAATGGTGATAAGAGTGTTGTAGCGAATGTGATCAGAGGTCAGTCCTGTGTGGTGGGGGTCAGAGGTTAGAGGTCAGTCCTTAGTGTACCTGTAGCAGTAGAGAGCGGTCAGCATCATGTGTGTGGAGTCCAGAGAGTGGATAAAGTTAGGAGGGAAGGCATTCTTCTGTTTCACAGTGTCTGGCTTCCTGTGGACAGAAAACAGAACAGTTGTTCACAGAGAAGACACACAAAGACAGTGTGTCTCTCTTGTGCACCCACACACAATTAAGGCCATGATGACGCAAGCATCTGAAAAGCCAGTGTCTTAGTCCATGAATCAGCGCACAGGTAGGTCAGAATGAATTATGAATTAATAACAAAGAAAAAACAGGGTAACTCGCCAACACAACTGCACTCTATACTTCCACTTCCTTTAGATGTCCTGTGTAAGCTCGCAGCTAATTGGGTGTTGGCTAGAAAGTTAAACATATTGCTGGCTTGCAGCTGTTTTGGCTACTGTCTTCCAACTGAAAGGTTGGACAAATATAAATGTCCATTGAGGAGTTTATCACATCAGTCACGGGCTTCATCAATAAGTGCATAGATGACGTCGTCCCCACAGTGACGAACGTATCCAAACCAAAAACCATGGATTACAGGCAGTATCCGCCATGGGCTAAAGGCTAGAGCTACCGCTTACAAGGGGACACGGACATGGACGCATACAAAAAAGCCCGCTAGGACCTCCGACGAGGTGGAATCCTAAACGAGCTAAATGCCCTTTATGCTCGGGTCGAGGAAAATAACACTGAGTCTTGGATGAAAGCCCCTGTTGGCTGCTATACGAAACGCGAAATAAAATCAATGAATGTACCAGAAAACAATAATAAGGCTAAGTGGATTTTGACTCATCGTTAACGCTTAGGCTACATGACATGGGATGTGCAAATTCAGGGCTCTACACTGCCTTTATTATTTATTTTATTTTTTACAAGGATCACATTTAGGAGCACAATGAAGGTATTTGAGGAAAAGTGTTTTCAAGAAATGACAAACAATTCATGAATAAATGTTTTTTGGGGTGTTCCATGCTCAATAAAGTACAACGTACCCTCAAATATTTGAGTCACTTGGGTGAGACAAAAATGTTCAGCTGCCCCTTTAAGGGGCGGGCCTTTACCTTGGTAACGTGGGATTCACATGTCTGTCAGAGATTTTCCGACCTATCTTTGCTAGTAGTAGTTGAGCAAGCTCAAACTAACATTGAACAACAACCTAGTGTGTGAACAAAACGATGTAAATAGCCAAAAAACACAAGGACAAAGTCACACTTTAGTAGACTTTTGGGTAAATTCGATCAACTTCTATACCTGTGCGCTCCTAAAAATGTATCTTTCAGCATTTCACTCACAGTGCCCTAGGCATGTTGCTGCGGTCCAGGCACTGTTGCTGTGCGAGGTGGGATATATGGGGCTCTACGTAGTTCTTCACATAGAAATAAGACATTATTCGTATTTTTTATTTTTGTGTGTGATTAGCTACCAGCTACGAAACAAAAGGCAGAAATACTTTGAAAATAGCTACTGCAGGATTTTTTATTGCTATATATCACAACTCGCACATGTGCTCACACTTTACTGTTTCAGTTCGCACACATCTATTTTTAGGCACATATGTGAGTAAAATGGTTGCACTTTAGAGCCCTGAAATTCACTCACAGAGACGATGAAGGAGCATCATGCCACAGAGTTTCTAAACCCAGAGGTGCAACATTGCGACACTTCCGGGAACGCTTGCGAAACAGACCAAACAGACCAGGCCGCTAGTCGAAAACACTGGGAGGAAGAAGAACTTACTGTTTAGAGTCGTGGGTGATCTGGAGACTCAGGTCCTGGATGGTACACTTCAGCTGCAGGAGACATGAGGGGAAAAGGCAAGAGGACATGATTGAGTCAGGTAGGTTTGATGATGTAATTTGGTTGGGGAGGGGACACTGGATTAGTATTAGACATTCTGTAAACAAACACACTAATAAAACAGGGTAGACTTCCACCACCCAAGTCAGTTCTTATGTTTGACATTTCTAACAAATTGATGGAAGATCAAATTAATGTGGAATCCATGATTGAACTACAAGTTCTCCCCATTGATTCCCAGCCCACCCACCACACAGAGGTGACAGAAATTATAATAGGACACAAGACATGAATGACTGATAAAACCTGACTTGAGCTAGCATGCTAAATACGAGCCTACTGAGACATGTTAACAAAGAGTTTGTTCCCTAGGAATGATACTAACTAGTGCTCAATAGCTCTACAACATCTAACACACAGCTAGCTACTGTAGGCGCTGTGACAGAAGAGAGGTGTTTGACCAGGCTGAGGTGAAAAATGTAGCCCATCACTTTCAAATCAAATCAAATGTATTTATAAAGCCCTTTTTACATCAGCAGATGTCACAAAGTGCTTATACAGAAACCCACACACAGTTTGCACACGCACTCACATGCACGCACACACAACTGCACACACACGCAGCGCAGTAGAGGAGCGAGGTGCCCTGCTCAAGGTGGCAGTGCACTGAGCCGGGACAAAGACAGAAATACATGTTAGAGACAGGCCAGTACACAGCTGATAGAGACACCTGAAGTGCTGAGGATAACTTGAGAGATGGAGCTTTCAGAGGTTGCCTCCCCCTGTCTGTCAGTGAGGTCAGCAGAGGTCAAGTGAGGTGAAGAGAGCCCTGTAATTTGCTACTGCTTTTAGGCCCCTCTACCAGCTCAAGACACACTAATAGCCAAACAACAAGCTGTCTGCCAGGTGGGCCAATTAGGGGGAAAAAGGGACCTTATGAGGGACCCTAGTCTGCTTGTTATTTTCATGATCTCTGCAGTGGACATGTGACTGGCATTAATGGTGACCACAGCCAGATTGATTAAGCTATAGAACATATATGCATTTGCATATATTGTATAAATACGCTTATATTTCCCTTTGAAAAGGACTACGTTTGACATGTCTGAGCTTGTATACAGTGAAAATCGTACTTTTAAAAGTTCATATTCTGTTAACTCATACCCAAATAATGTTGTCGACTCATCCTATACTCGTATTTGTGGCCAAAGCATACATTGGAGAAAAATAAAAACACTTCAAAAACCGCACCTCAAACTTGTATCTCAAACAGACTGTTCCAAAAATGTTTACTATTTCCTCATGGAAGATGTGCTGGCCAATCAACGGCCTACTCACATTAATATTTTTAATGACCGGTATACGCCTATACCATTCTGTTGTTGGAGTACGCCCACACCATTCCAACACAGAAAAGCTGCTTTTGAACATACTTAATTACCTTTAAAAAAATATATGTATTGTCATTCATTTAGGTCATATTTCATATATATCTGGAAACACTGGACAGTTACTTTAATGCTTCTCTGAGCTCTAACTAAGCAACATCTAGAGTAAGATACATTTAGTCTTACCATCTGCGTCCGGGTCCGGTGGTAGGGCTGAATGATGGGCAGGCCCAGGGGTGTCACCCACTCCACCGTGTTGCCCGACTTGGCGATGAGCCTGGCGCTCTCCGTCAGCCAGTCCTGAAACAGAGGGCACCGCCACAGGTCAGCCAATGGAAGGAGAGGTGGCCACTGAGTGAAAGTAGGAGACTTGAAACACCACTCACAGGTCACAGCATTCTACTCCTCTGCTGCCAGCTACTGTAGATACACATCAGAGCTAGGGGATTCAATTAACTTCCATCACCCACTGTTGTCTGGTGAGTACATTTGTGTTCAAATTAGGATGTTCGTGAAATTGAGGAAAATGTGAGAAAACAGACACATTACATTCACTCAGCAGCTTGGAAGTATGATCAGTTTAAACTTAGATGCAGTTTCTTCCGTGATTATATCTATCCATGAAAACAGATGGAGATGGAGAGTTGTCATAGAAACAGGTGGAACGTTGTTGCTTGCAGACAATAGAACACTAGTCTAGACATAACAGAGCAACAGTGCTGGCCTCGCTGTTGCTGAGTCGGTGACAGATGCTCGCTCTTGAATGGTAGCGCTATTATGGTCCTAGAGGTCCTCATCCACAGCCTCAGTGTAGGAGACTAATATTTACATTTGACATTTTAGTCATTTATCAGACGCTCTTATCCAGAGCGACTTAAAGTAGTGAGTGCATATATTTTTATACTGGTCCCGTGGCAATCGAACCCACAACTCTGGCATTACAAGTGCCATGCTCTACCAACTGAGCCACACGGGACCCAGCTAGCAGGCAGCAGCCAGGCCCAAAGCTGGCCCATTAATCTGCCTGCCTTCTGGCCCTCTTTCTACCTCCCTCTTCTTCCTCTCTACTCTCCTCCTCTCTCTCTGTTTTCCTCCTAATCATCCCACCTCTCCTCTCTCCCTCCTTCATCCAGGAACTCCCAGCCAGGTAAAGGGAGGAGGGGAAGAGAGAGGGATTGATCATGTACTGTAACTAGCCACCGCTGCTCTCTCCTTGAGACTCTGCTGTGTAGACCCTGCAGGACCTGACCCATTTAGAGATGAACTGGGAGCAGGAGCGAGATGAGGGGAGAATATTTAATATGAGCTGGGGCTGTGTGCCCTCACCTTAAGCTACCCTGATCATTCTTTCTCTAATGGTTTTAATGCATGAGCCCGTGCCAGGTGCTGGTGCATGTCGTCCTTAATGTGTGTGAACTATAAAGTGAATGCATATGATGAACGAGCACGGCTACTGTGCTAATAGTAGAGTAAACTATAGTCCGTAATAATAAGTTCACACTCTATTTGTGTACACTGGTCAACTGTGGAGCTGGTATATGCAGCAGGTAAATTGATATATTAGTAATTTGTGTCATGCAGGGTACCTGGATCTCTCTGGTGCCGGTGAACATCTCCTTCAGACTGCTAAACACCTGTTGGACCAGGTAGTGAGAGGCGTCCCATACATACTCCTGCAATAACAACACACACATCTCAATGGCTCGACAATACATATATCCAAATCCAACACATTTACAGTATATTTATTTATAGGCACATAATCAAAACGAGTAAAGGACCAAGCACAGAACCCTGAGGAACGCTACAGGGTAAATTATGTGCTGTTCCATAAAATCATTCCTGGGTTGATTTGAAAAGGGGGGGGGGGTTTCTCTACTGTACTATACACACCCAGGGGGGACAATAGAGGGAGGCTTTCTCCACTGTTAGCAATTATCATAATACAGTAGGTCAGGGGTACTCAAGTACTATTTCAGAAGGTCCGGTCACACACATTTCCTAGGTGGCAAAGGCCCGGATGGATATTGTAATGTATTGGCAAAGTAACAAACCCCCACCTCGGAACCCCAAACTGTTCACACCCCTCTTGTTGGCAAAGAGAAAAGATCTGCAGTTTTAAAGATGCACTAGGCAGAAATCGCTACGCCATTTCCTGGTTGCAAAAGTTCTAATAGTTCGCCTAATTTCAGCTTATGTGACAAAACAAGCAAGTATAGTGTATATAATCATTGTACCATCTAAACTGCTGTGAAATATATTTTCCATAACGAAAAATATTGTATTTTCAGCTGTTTGAAGCTGGTGTAGAAAACCGAAAGTAAAAGACGCAAAAATGAAACTTAAGAATGGGAAGCATAGAAATTGCGCACATAGAACAGATCTACCGCTTCTTAGACTTGCTTTCAATGAGAATGAAAGATCTATAACACACATTTATATGTGAATTTGGTCAGGTCCCCCAAAAAGGTACATATTGCAGCTTTAAAGCTAATTTCCTGCAGTTTTACGTGTGTGTTCATATGATACCAGGAGTCGAATCCCGACCGAATCGTATTGACCCCGTTCTGGGTCTGGATCCGGCCTGCGGTCCGCCTATTGAGCATGGCTGCAGTAGGTTATGACAATCACCATTTTTATAGGTATCAACGATTTTGGAGTAAAATTTGCAGTTTGACTGAAAAGAGTGGTATAAATTCATGATGACATTGCTGCGCTCAACTAAATGGCTATCATACAGGAGTAAAATTTGCAGTTTGACTGAAAAGAGTGGTATAAATTCATGATGACATTGCTGCGCTCAACTAAATGGCTATCATACATTTTACATTTTTACATTTTTACATTTTAGTCATTTAGCAGACGCGCTCAACTAAATGGCTATCATACATTTTACATTTTTACATTTTTACATTTTAGTCATTTAGCAGACGCTCTTAACCAGAGCGACTTACAGGAGCAATTAGGGTTAAGTGCCTTGCTCAAGGGCACATTAACGTCATTTAGCAGACGCTCTTAGCCAGAGCGACTCACAAATTGGTGCGTTCACCCTATAGCCAGTGGGATAACCACTTTACAATTTGGGGGGGGGGGTTAGAAGGAATACTTTAGCCTATCCCAGGTATTCCTTAAAGAGGTGTATAAGTATGATTGTCACATTACAGTGCTATATGCATTTCAGTGTGATAAGGCGGTTTTCCCCAGCCATTCCACAGTAATAATAATTTCCCATTACATTGTTCCCAGATTCCCTGTTGAACTAATGAGACAATTTCCCACATTTCCCTGGCTGTTAGACGGGAAACACACAAGAAAAAAGAAGATTAGGTTACTACCCTATTATAATAGGTTTATGTGCTTGTGTAAGATTAGGTTACTACCGTATTATAAAAGGTCTATGTGCTTGTGTAAGATTAGGTTACTACCGTATTATAATAGGTCTATGTGCTTGTGTAAGATTAGGTTACTACCGTATTATAATAGGTCTATGTGCTTGTGTAAGATTAGGTTACTACCCTATTATAATAGGTCTATGTGCTTGTGTAAGATTAGGTTACTACCGTATTATAATAGGTCTATGTGCTTGTGTAAGATTAGGTTACTACCGTATTATAATAGGTCTATGTGCTTGTGTGAAGTAGCTAAAAAATTATAAAATCAATGGCTAATATAGACAGATACAGTTAAATGGCTAATATAGACAGATACAGTTAAATGGCTAATATAGACAGATACAGTTAAATGGCTAATATAGACAGATACAGTTAAATGGCTAATATAGACAGATACAGTTAAATGGCTAATATAGACAGATACAGTTAAAGACATATCACAGTCGTCAGTATGACACATGTCATTGTCTGAGTGAGGTCTATGTGTGACATTTCTCGTAACACAGTCGCATGGTATAGGAGATGATTATGTGATACTGTTCATCCAGAAAGTCCACAGCTAGCGACATCAAAAACCAACAATGGGTCGATTGGGGAATGGAAAAATGATTGAAGCAATAAAGCTAAAACATGGGGCAGTTCTATTATATAGATGACTGGTAGGCCGTACCTTGGGGAAGTCATCAATCTCCTTGAGCCTCTTCTCTATCTGGAGGCGTCCTCCATAGCGTGTCACCCCGTACACCACCGTCATCACCGTCTGCTTCACCACCTTCCTGCTGATGAAGCCCTCCAGCACCTGGGCGATCTTCAGACCCTTCTCCGAGTCCCGCGCACGGAACTCCTCCACCTATAAAAACACACAGAGAGCACCAAACACACAGTCTGATTGTCATCTTGTCCAAAGGGAACCGCACAGACTCAAAAGAGTATCATACATTAACTCTGACAGTCGCATAGCATAATATGGGAGCATAAGAGCACCACATTGTGCTGCAGACAGTACATTGATTTAGACTGTCAGTGACTGACACAGTTATCACAAATCTGACTCAATAGGCCAGTCGCTTTAAATTAGCAGCAGTTTGCTGTATAGCCTGTACAGAACCTACTGTACTAGTTATAGAAGTGAACAGTCTGAATCAATTAACTGCAATCACCTTAAATATACACTGGGTGTATCGTTCCTGTAAACATTGTTGCCTTGATGATTGGTCCTCTGTATGTACTGGAGGTGTTTGTCCTCCCCAAGACTCGAAGCGGAGCTGAATACATCAGCTGCTTTCTAATCAGCGTTCCTTAGGAGTTGCTGGACGATGAGGTAGGAGAAGGGAGCAGGAAGTGCTGCCACAGCACCATTCTGAAAGCAGCCCAGCTCATTGAGAACTCTGCAGTGTACTATGCTCCAGCTAAATGCGACTTGATGTTTTTGGCACGGCCACACTGTGCTTTGTAAATACTCTCCGCTCTCACCGGTGCTAAAATCAATAGGCTCAAATTGTCTCCCCTCTAAAATATGTAGCTTGGTCAGAGCAAAATCCTTGGGCTGTGACTTCTGTGCTGCAGGGACTGGGGCTAAGGGAGCCCTGGGGTGAGAGGTAAAGTAAAGCCTGCTCTGACTAGTCTGAGGAGAGCAGGTGCTGTTATTGTAGACTGTGCTAAGTGCAAAGGAAAAAGTACACTCGTTCCCCAGGTAAATAAAGGAGCAAGCTCGATAATGTGAGACACTCTTCAAGTACATCATTATTTATTCATTGATAAAACACAATGGATTTCAACATTATAGGTGGTAGGGGCAGGGCAATATAACCACCCCGCCACTGCTCACTGGTGACCAGGCTGACTGACCTGCTGTGCCACCCCGCTGTAGACATCCTGGGGCACCTCGCAGGGAATCAGGTTCACAGAGGTGGCACCGATCACATCCCGACCCAGGGCTGCGTAGTGCTGGAGACCATTACACGAACCATCCTGAGGGGGAGGAAGGAGGGTGTGGAGAGAATTGGAGAGAGAGAGAGAGAGAGAGAAAAAGAAGAGAGAAATATTATTGGGGTGGCAAATAAAAGCTTAACCGAGGCCATGGATGGAGTCCTGAAGAAGCACAGACAGACAAGGTCGATGGGCTGCTCAGCTCTCTACAGAGCCAGAGCCCAGCCAACAGACAGAGGCTAACTGATGTCTGAACACACCATTTAGCCTGGATCAGCCAGGGCAGTGACTGAGCACAAAGTAAAGTGACATAAAAACAACAATTTCCCCAAAATGGTGTCAGAGGAGCTGTTGCCTTGTTAACTTTGATGAGGCCTCTAAAATAACAGTATAGCGGATAAGTGAGACACCTCCTGTTAAGAGGTTGTAAATGGCAGCAGCTATAGAGGCGTGCAAAACAAAATGGACCCCTAGACCCTAGGAGTAAGCAATATAGCAAAAAGTACACCTATTCTTTCAGAGGGTAATATGGAGCTATGACCGTATTGCATATACCCATCTAATCCTTTCAGATCTAAATGGAGGGTCAAGGGGCAGGGGTTAGAGGTCACTGTCATTACCTGATGCACAGGAAAGTGGGAGATGAAGTGTGTGGGGTCAGGTGATCTGACAGCGTTGGCTATCTCCATACAGCAGGCCAAGGCTTGCCAGGGTTCATCTGCATTCTGCCACCACTTCTTACCCTGCCGTGGAAACACACACACAACCACATAGACAATAGAGTATCAGATACAACATATCAATGGTTAGATTATCTCCCAGTGGGTAGAATAATACAATCACAATCTATGCGCTGTAACAGTATGATAACAAACAGGACACATTGTTAGCAGACTGACGTTGAGGGGGTTGTCTGCAGAGTCCAGGATGTCGTCCATGATGGTGTTGGCGTACTCCAGCCTGCCTGCCAGCGAGCTGCGTTTCTTCAAACCTGTCAGGTTGACCAGGTGGATCTTCAGCCAGTCCAGACCGCCAGGCCCCAGGGGCTTCCCCTCCGCAAACACCAGGACGGCCCTGGTCACATCGCTGCCCAGGTGGTTGAAGTAGGGCGGGCACGGGTACGTCCGCCCGCGGAAGTCCATGTTGTGGGGGAACCAGAAGACCTCGTCCCTCATGTGGTTGGCGATGGAGAGTTTATAGAGGGCGTCCATCCTGAGGCTGTGCATCTCACTGCACTTCTTCTTGGCCTTGACCACCTCCCTCTTCAGGTGGGCCTTCTCGGCCAAGGAATAGGTGGCCGAGTCCTGCTGGTTGTAGCGGGGGATCTTGGGGGCCTCGGAGTTGGGCGGCGGGACGTCCAGCTTCTCACTGCCCTTATCGTTGAAGATGGAGATGATGATGTCCAGCAGGGGCTGGTTGATCCTCCAGGCCGCGTTGCCCAGCTGGTTGAGGGAGTCCAGCACGGCGTGGAGGTCCGCGTCATGGCACTTCTCTAGCAGGATCTCGTGCTGGTTGGCGCCAACCACCGTGCGCATCATCTTGGTGGGGGTGAGGAGGTAGGCGCCGAACTTGGCCGAGGTCCAGGGCACGGGCGGGCACAGCATGGGCATCACGTAGGAGTCAAAGGTCAGCGTGGTCTCCATGGCGTCCTGCTGCATCTGCGTCAGGATGGGGTGCGGCTTGATGAAGCCGACCTGCAGCCAATCACAACATGAGAGATCCAATTAAATATATGAAATACGAAAACACAGGTACAGTACCAGTCCAATCAAAGGTCTGCTCAAAAACAGAGCTGAACGTTTCAATTAAGCTTCAGTAGAACAGGCAGCCTTATTTGCTGTGACAACACCACCACATTAATCATGGCTTCTGGTGGAGGGCACGTGTGGCTGATTTATTGCCTGACTACGTGTAATTGTGATGATGTAAATACTGTGGCTACCAGCTAAGGCATCTGGTTCATAGCAGTTTTAATCACGTGTGACAGCCGGAGATTAATTAGCTACTACCTGAAAGGCTTCACCAACCAAACTCACAGACAGACACAGCATTGTAGAAAACATACAGTATAAACCAACAGTGCAGTCTAACACATACACACACACACACACACACACACACACACACACACACACACACACACACACACACACACACACACACACACACACACACAGAACAGAGAGAGAGAGAGAGATAGACAGATAGACAGAGAGAGAGATATCATAACAGATTCAGTCCAGTCCATCAACCAGAGATATATCATAACAGATTCAGTCCAGTCCATCAACCAGAGAGAGATATCATAACAGATTCAGTCCATCAACCAGAGAGATATCATAACAGATTCAGTCCAGTCCATCAACCAGGCAGAGATTCCATGAAAAATACCAGAGAAGCATTGTGCAGCCTAACAACTCTGCATGCTGTAAAATCATTAGGCTGCACCCCTGCTGGCCTACCCTCTACCCCCCTGAGCCAACACAGCAGAGGGAGGAGTGGCCAGAGACCAGCTTTGAACCCCACAGCGGACTCCACTGTCAAAGCACACCGAATCCACCGGATTGAGATGCCGGCAGGCGCTTCTTTTCCACCAGGAACGAGGCTCAGAGGACAAAATAGAAAGCGTCTTCATTTCCTTGTCAGCTATCCCAGTGCAGTCAATCAGCCAGCCAATTAAGGGTACAGTAAAAAAATGATTAGTTAGTTTTTGCAGGAGTCAGGGCAATCATCCTTCTTGTGCTTCGCGGAGCAGCGCAGAGCTGTTGAGCAGAGCTGTTGTGAAGAAAGATTTTGTGTGTATACAGGACCTCCCGCCCCCACCTACCATCAACCAATCAAGTCAATGCGGAGCAATACGGAGCCCTCCGCATTATAAAACAATTTGGGAGGCGCACGGCGATGTGGTACGGAGCAATTGCGTCACACCCTCCATACATAGCCTCCGACCACATTTTCGGATGAAGCATGAATTGGCTTTTACTCAACTGCACCGCTGTCCACTCTTGCAGGGAAAGCGGTTTTATTATTCATATGCTTATGAGCCCGGACCGTGCAGGCAGACAGAATAATATGAGGGAGCTGGCTGTGAGAGGAGAGCTTAAGACAGACGTAGCAGCTATGACAGACGGCATGTTATGTTATGGCTCCTTCTGACTGCTGCACTACTGACTGATTTCGCTCATAAATGTCGATATGAAGAATAAGCCATGACACGAAAATGACCCTAAACCTGGGAAATCTGGTGAAAGAATTGGGAGAAAATAACTTGCATAAATCACTTCAAATGTAGTATATGATTTACCTGTTTGTTACTGCGGAAGGTGTACATGTGGTAGAGGACGGGGATGAACTTCCTGTCATAGGCAGGATTGAGGATGTCGCTGTTCACCTTCATGTGCTTGACCATGAGGTCCACCAGGTAGGTGCCCAGCTCCACCACCACCGTGTGGGGCCATTGGGTCTTGTCCCCCAGCAGAGAGGGGCCAGAGCTATGCTCCGCCTCCAGCTTCCACCATCGCTCCCTAGGCAATACGTCAAACTCCTGCACCGCACAGTAAGGAAGTTTTCTTTAAGTCAAACAGTAGGTCAATTATTTAATACATCTTCTAATTGCATGCAGACAAAAACCAGATAAAGACCAGATGTTGGTGGAAGAGTGTCACATAGAAATAGAATAGAACAGGCTTGGAATCTCTAACCCTGACAATTTGACTAGTAAACTCGCAATGGCTGCCTGCCTTTGATGCAACGTTTCCATGGTAATGTAGAATGTTAATTCAAATTATGTTAACTGATGTGGCTCATGCAATGGAATGTATTGTTTGTAATGTCAGTTGAGTTGAATCAACAAATCACAGCACATATTGATGGGTACACTTCCTGCTTTTACTTCCTGCTTTGCTCCTATGGGTACTCTTGCAATGGCCACCAGTCCACCCATTATGCCATCATTGACTTGAATGGGGACGCCTGTTCTATTCATCCTATTTCTATGGAGTGTCATACCTGAGAGTCTTTGGCTAGCAGCTCAGCATATTCATTGTAGATATGGCTGAGCTTTTCCACCATCTGGTTGTGGCTCTTCATGCGGATGCAGAACTTGTTGTGGACCCTGTTGCCCAGCTCCTTGGCCAGGATGTGGAGAGACTCCCCACTGGGTGGCAAGTTAGACAGACTCTGACAAAGACAAATATCAACATTATTAGGATCATCTGTATTTTATAGAATTACATTTTATGTCAAACTACAAAGATGCTAAATAAACCTGAACTCAGAACTCTAGATACATCAGCGGTCTAAAGGAGTCAAGGTCCAACATACTGCTGGGATGCAGTGGGCTTTACCTGAAGGGTCCAAACACAGAACCTTGCGGAACGCCAAATGAAACGTTAGAACGTTCATATAATTTGTCAACCAGCTCAGACAATTTGATACCACTCAGAAAAGTAAGAATTGAACCAACAGAGATACAGTATATGCATTGAGTGTACAAAACATTAGGAACACCTTCCAAATATTGAGTTGCACCCCCGTTTTGCCATCAGAACAGCCTCAATTCATCAGGGCATGGACTCTACACAAGGTGTCGAAAGCGTTCCACAGGGAGGCTGGCCCATGTTAACTCCAATGCTTCCCACAGTTGTGTCAAGTTGGCTGGATGTCCTTTGGGTGGTGGACCATTCTTGATACACACAGGGAAACTGTTGAGTGTGAAAAGTCCAGCAGCGTTGCAGTTCTTGACACAAAACGGTGCACCTGGCACCTACTACCATACCCCGTTCAAAGGCACTTAAATATTTTGTCTTGCCCATTCACCCTCTGAATGGCACACATACACAATCCATGTCTCAATTGTCTCAAGGCTTAAAAATCCTTCTTTAACCTGTCCCCTCCCTGTCACGCCCTGACCTATAGAACTCTTGTTTGTTTAGTCAGGGTGTGGAAATCTATGTTATATATTCTATGTTTAGGTTATAGTTAGTCTATTTCTATGTCTGGCCGGGTATGATTCCCAATCAGAGGCAGCTGTCGCTCATTGTCTCTGATTGGGGTTCATACTTAAGTAGCCCATTGCCTACTGTGTATTGTGGGATGTTGTTCCTGTTAGGCTGGTATGTGTATAGCCGGAGGACTTCACGTTACGTCGTTTCTTGTTTTGTTGTATGTTTATTTAGTTAATAAACATGTATGCTTTTCACGCTGCACCTTGGTATGACCCGTCTCTCAACAATTGTGACACTCCCCTTCATCTACACTGATTGAAGTGGATTTAACAAGTGACATCAATAAGGGATCATAGCTTTCACCTAGATTCACCTGGTCAGTCTATGTCATGTTTTGTACACTCAGTGTATTTGACCCAAGGTCAGAGATAGTTGAGAGGATTAAGGAGGATTATGGGTTATATAATAATAATAAAAATAATAATAATGTAGCTTTATACCTGGATCATGATGTCCACATAGTCCTTTTGGTCCAGCAGACAGAGGTAGGGGTAGAGGCTGAGTCTGACGGCCTTCGGGGTGCTGCTGGCCAGGATCATCTTGCTCTCCCTCAGGGCCCCAACCAGGGCTTTGTGCCACACTATCCGCTTCTCCGCCAGCAGATCCCTCTGAAAGAGTCACATACACCACCATCAGCAAGGTAATACTGCATGGTACTGTGTGGTTCTGGTGGATGAAAACATGACGAACTATGTTCCATAAGCAAGTTCTGCCTTATATCCACTTTGGACATGAGTTCAAAGTTGACATAAGGTTAAACAACAAACACATTAGATCTTTCATTTGGACTCCACTAGCTAGCCAATAATCATCTGTGGTATTCAGCATGTGTTCAGATTCAGATATGGTGAGCAAACAGAAGCGGTCTCCAGCCATGTTGTGAAACTGGGTCACCCCTCCATCCAGGGGACTGTCATATTGCCTGTCCATGCCAGGAGGAGAGAGCCCAGATGACACAGAGCAGATAGGCTGGCCTGGCCTCTAGATGACCACCCTCTCCTCAGGACAGCCCCATTAAAATACATTATCATTCTGCTGTAAATGTTGCAGAACCACCAGGGACCCTCGTCCCAGTCTGAAACACTGTCTGGAGATGCAGAGAGAGTTTAAACTGTAAATGCCTGGCCCCAGATCACTGAGATAAGGGGAGAGGCCTCAACGCATAAGGTTTAAAGTTTTGACTGCTGTCTGGAGAAAAACTTTTCTCACTGCTGACACTGACTGAACATTTAAAAAATCAACATAATGAAAATATATGATTTTCTCATTGGCAATGGATTAAATAAAATTCCACCCCTTCAATGTAAAGCGATTTGAGATCCTATACAAATCCAATAATTGTTCATTTCAGGATCATTAAATACAAAATAAAGCATAGTATATTTCAGTGTGTCACTATTCCATACTGTATAACTACAGCAATATATTTCAGTGTTTGGCCAGACTATACAGTGGGGAAAAAAAGTATTTAGTCAGCCACCAATTGTGCAAGTTCTCCCACTTAAAAAGATGAGAGAGGCCTGTAATTTTCCATCATAGGTACAAGTCAACTATGACAGACAAAATGAGATTTTTTTTTCCAGAAAATCACATTGTAGGATTTTTAAGGAATTTATTTGCAAATGATGGTGGAAAATAAGTATTTGGTCAATAACAAACGTTTCTCAATACTTTGTTATATACCCTTTGTTGGCAATGACACAGGTCAAACGTTTTCTGTAAGTCTTCACAAGGTTTTCACACACTGTTGCTGGTATTTTGGCCCATTCCTCCATGCAGATCTCCTCTAGAGCAGTGATGTTTTGGGGCTGTCGCTGGGCAACAGACTTTCAACTCCCTCCAAAGATTTTCTATGGGGTTGAGATCTGGAGACTGGCTAGGCCACTCCAGGACCTTGAAATGCTTCTTACGAAGCCACTCCTTCGTTGCCCGGGCGGTGTGTTTGGGATCATTGTCATGCTGAAAGACCCAGCCACGTTTCATCTTCAATGCCCTTGCTGATGGAAGGAGGTTTTCACTCAAAATCTCACGATACATGGCCCCATTCATTCTTTCCTTTACACGGATCAGTCGTCCTGGACCCTTTGCAGAATAACAGCCCCAAAGCATGATGTTTCCACCCCCATGCTTCACAGTAGGTATGGTGTTCTTTGGATGCAACTCAGCATTCTTTGTCCTCCAATCCAGTTGAGTTTTTACCAAAAAGTTCTATTTTGGTTTCATCTGACCATATGACATTCTCCCAATCCTCTTCTGGATCATCCAAATGCACTCTAGCAAACTTCAGACGGGCCTGGACATGTACTGGCTTAAGCAGGGGGACACGTCTGGCACTGCAGGATTTGAGTCCCTGGCGGCGTAGTGTGTTACTGATGGTAGGCTTTGTTACTTTGGTCCCAGCTCTCTGCAGGTCATTCACTAGGTCCCCCCGTGTGGTTCTGGGATTTTTGCAATGCAATAAAATGCAATTTAATTACTTAAAAATCATAAAATGTGATTTTCTGGATTTTTGTTTTAGATTCCGTCTCTCACAGTTGAAGTGTACCTATGATAAAAATTACAGACCTCTACATGCTTTGTAAGTAGGAAAACCTGCAAAATCGGCAGTGTATCAAATACTTGTTCTCCCCACTGTATATATATATATAGAGAGAGAGAGAGAGAGAGGAAGCTGAATTGAGCTAGCTGAAGTGATCATTTTGACCCCACGGGGTGAGATCTTGCGTGGAGCCCCAGATCGAGGGAGATTATCAGTGGTCTTGTATGTCTTCCATTTCCTAATAATTGCTCCCACAGTTGATTTCTTCAAACCAAGCTGCTTACCTATTGCAGATTCAGTCTTCCCAGCCTGGTGCAGGTCTACAATTTTGTTTCTGGTGTCCTTTGACAGCTCTTTGGTCTTGGCCATAGTGGAGTTTGGAGTGTGACTGTTTGAGGTTGTGGACAGGTGTCTTTTATACTGATAACAAGTTCAAACAGGTGCCATTAATACAGGTAACGAGTGGAGGACAGAGGAGCCTCTTAAAGAAGAAGTTACAGGTCTGTGAGAGCCAGAAATCTTCCTTGTTTGTAGGTGACCAAATACTTATTTTCCACTATAATTTGCAAATAAATTCATTAAAAATCATAGTTGACGTGTACCTATGATGAAAATTACAGGCCTCTCTCATCTTTTTAAGTGGGAGAACTTGCACAATTGGTGGCTGACTAAATACTTTTTTCCCCCACTGTACGTGTAGGTGGGTGGGGCAGTTTGTTTACCATCTTGGCCATGTGTGGGGTAACAGGCTTCATGGCCTCCACAGAGTGAATGGTGATGGTGCTGGCCTGCTCCATGCTCAGCTGACGGCTGAACCTCTCCCGCAGCTCCTCCAGGTTGAAGGCCAGCTTGGGGTATTTAGCATCCGCCCTCTGAAACACACACAGGTCAGAGGATTCAGAGAGGCCATACACAGACTGGGTTTTCCAGGGAGAGACTATTACCTTGCATACTACATCACAGGAGAGAGACAATGGAAGGGAGCATACATTAAACCTAATGTCTATTATTAGAGTCAATATTAGATACATTTAGAGAACACTCACATAGCTATTTTGGAATGCGTGTGTGTGCGTGCACATTCGAGCGTGTGTCCAGGCTGTGTGTGTGTGTACAGTCCTGGCCAAAGAGAGGGTGTGTGTGTTCTAAATAATATGAGTGTGTGGTGATGGGGAGGGTTCTGTCAGGTCAGAGTCCTTAGCTGAGGTAGGGAGAAGCAGACAGATCTCAGTCGGCTGCCAACACACAGAGCATTACCCAGCCTTAATGTGATGCGTGATTTGAAGGAGTCAGGCGCAGGAGGGTAAATCACAGTATACAGAGTTTATTCCGTAATCCAGCGTAACCAGTCCAGTGCGCAAAACAGGCGCACTGGAACAAACATGCACACAGGGAAAATTCCCCGGCAATACAAAATACTGAGCTCAACCGAGCTACTAATCCTCACAATGAACAACCACCCACAAGGACAAGGGGGGCAGAGGGAACACTTAAACACGTACTAATGAGGGGATATGAACCAGGTGTGTAATTGACAAGACAAGACAAATGGAATGATGATATATGAAGCGGCAGTAGCTAGTAAGCCGGTGACGACGAACGCCGAAGCCTGCCCGAACAAGGAGGGGAGGCAGCTTCGGAGGAAGTGGTGACACTTAATTACTAGACCAGGGAACATCAACGCAGATTTTTATTGAGCAGATGGGGCCGGAACATAATTACAAATAATTTGTAGACTGCAAATTGACTTCAAGAAGCCCAAACATACATAATATTTGACTAAAACATAATAATCTCAAACCTTGCTTACATATGTATATGATCACATACTCTCGGTTGCCAGTTTATTAGGTACACCTCCCCCGTTCACGAAAATGGTTTGCTCCTACAGACAGTGAGTCACGTGCCCATGGCTTGCTATATAAAGCAGGCATACAGGCATCGAGGCATTCAGTTACTGTTTGACAATGTTAGAATGGGCAAAACGAGTGACCTAAGCGACTTTGAGCGTGGTATGATCGTCGGTACCAGGCGCGCCGGTTCCAGTATCTTAGAAACGGCCGGCTTCCTGGGCTTTTCACGCACAACAGTGTCTAGGGTTTACAGAGAATGGTGCAACCAACAAAAAACATCCAGTAAGCGGCAGTCCTGTGGGCGAAAACAGCTCGTCGATAAGAGGTCGAAGGAGAATGGCAAGAATCGTGCAAGCTAACAGGCGGGCCACAAACAGGCAAATAACGGCGCAGTGCAACAGTGGTGTGCAGAAAGGCATCTCGGAATGCAAAACTCGTTGGTCCTTGTCACGGATGGGCTATTGCAGCAGATAACCACACCGTGTTCCACTCCTATCTGCTAAGTCGGTAAGTCAGTCCTGTGGGTCAGTTGGTAGAACATGGCACTTGCAACGCCAGGGTTGTGGGTTCGATTCCCATGGGGGACTCACTACTGTAAGTTGCTCTGGATAAGAGCGTCTGCTAAATGACAAAAATGTAAATGTAAAAAAAAACAAGAAGAAGCTGCTCCAGTGGACACGCCATCACCAACACCTGGTCTGACGAAACCCAATTCCTGTTGCGTCATGCTGATGGCAGAGTCAGGATTTGGCGTAAGCAGCATGAGTCCATGGACTCATCCTGCCTGGTGTGGGGAATGTTTTCCTGGCACACGTTAGGTCCCTTGATACCAATTGAGGAACGTTTCCATGCAAAGGGGGGTCCGACCCAGTACTAGATAAACTGGCCACTGAGTGTACACCTCTCTATTATGCGTGGGAATACTTTGGAACAGATTTCCATAATTAAAATCACTTGGAGCTGATTTTCTGGTGTATTTACACCCCAAACAATTGCTTATAAATCTTGGGGGGCCAAATCAAATCCCCCGCGGTCCAAATTTGGCCAGTTGGGGAACCCTTCACTAGACGCTCAGTCTGCTGCCAACACATAGAGCATTACCCAGTCTTAATCACTAGACGCTCAGTCTGCTGCCAACACACAGATCATTACCCAGTCTTAAATCACTAGACACTCAGTCTGCTGCCAACACACAGAGCATTACCCAGTCTTAATCACTAGACACTCAGTCTGCTGCAACACACAGAGCATTACCCAGTCTTAATCACTAGACACTCAGTCTGCTGCAACACACAGAGCATTACCCAGTCTTAATCACTAGACACTCACAGTCTGCTGTCAACACACAGAGCATTACCCAGTCTTAATCACTAGACACTCAGTCTGCTGCAACACACAGAGCATTACCCAGTCTTAATCACTAGACACTCAGCTCCACAAGACTATAAAGCAAACAGATGGCTCATTATACTCAGTGTAATAAGGTGTAGTCGCGTCCTGTGTGCTCCATCAATTACTGTGGGCTGGTACCTTGACCCATTGGCATTTAATTTCCGAGATCAAACTGAAAATCAAATTATATGCATTTACAAAGGAGTATGGATATTCATTTTCTATATCTATAATTGGGTGGTAACACATTTAAGGTCAGTGTAGTGCTCTCTGTGTGTGTGTGTGTGTGTGTGTGTGTGTGTGTGTGTGTGTGTGTGTGTGTGTGTGTGTGTGTGTGTGTGTGTGTGGTGCTTGGAGTGAAGGCACTAAATGGACTAAGGCAGGCCCACGCCACCATTCCCCCTGTGCCTGCAGTCACCTGACAGAGAGAAAAAAGGAGGGCACAAACTAACGCTGACCAAACCCACACAGCCTCAATTAACAGCCAGTAGCTATGCAGATTAACTTCCATCCCATCACCCTCCCGTGGCCAATTAAAAAAGAAATATGCTTATACTGCATCTTTACATGCTGTTGCTTTAAGCTTAACCCGCACCAAAGGTCTGGCTGGCACCCAATTAAAACGCTCATAGAAAGTGGCAGCGCATATATCTCATTATATAAATACACAGCTGGCTTAGTGGTCCAGCTAGAATGGTACTGAGTAGGCCAACATACTGAGAGGGCCTGTGTGCTTTTACATGTTGTCATTTATTATTGAAAGAGGCCATCTGGGTATTATCAGTTAACACATCATAGAGGGGTTGATGTACGGTGTCTCTTTATTAACCCGGGAGACACAGGAAGAGACACAGTAAATCTGTCCTCAAAGGAGAGGCTGCTTAGACACTATTGGACAGCAGCAAAAACAAAGCTAAAGGTTACGCAGGAGATAAATCACTTGGTCATCGGCTGTATTGCACTAAAGCATGGCACAATACTACCTTCTCTGTTGAGTAGATGGGCTCTTAAGTCTTTTTTTAAGAGCAAGCTTTGCTGCTGAGGAACTACAGTATATACACTGATGTATTAGGACGCATACATTTACATTTTAGTCATTTATCACACGCTCTTATCTGTTTCAGTGTGTCTATGGCAGTTCATGCTGGGCCATGAGACAGAACTGAATAATAAGTATTTGTTCATGTGCATTGTTCTTTGCATGTTTTGAATTGTGTCATATTGTTGTTGCTGCCCAGGGCAGAGATTGTCCAGACAGGGAGCAGTGCCATGCGATGCCCGGCTATCAGCGTGGACCAGAATGGGACAACTACCTCCTCCCTTTCCTTCTCCTCCTCTCCTCACTATCTCTGTCTTCTAGCTAGGGCCCCTGGCAAAGGCAGAACTGTCAGCTAAACCGTAGCTCAGGGCAGGAGAGGGCACCAACATTACTGAGTGTGCGCATAATAATATAAATGAAATATCCCCCTCACAGGAGAACACAGTATCTCCAATCAATGACAATCTCCAAACACTAGATCAAACTGCATTTCTTACAACTTCATCAAATTTCCAAATAGTATCTAGTGTATATACACTGCTCAAAAAAATAAAGGGAACACTTAAACAACACAATGTAGCTCCAAGTCAATCACACTTCTGTGAAATCAAACTGTCCACTTAGGAAGCAACACTGATTGACAATACATTTCACATGCTGTTGTGCAAATGGAATAGACAACAGGTGGAAATTATAGGCAATTAGCAAGACACCCCCAATAAAGGACTGGTTTTGCATGTGGTGACCACAGACCACTTCTCAGTTCCTATGCTTCCTGGCTGATGTTTTGGTCACTTTTGAATGCTGGCGGTGCTTTCACTCTAGTGGTAGCATGAGACGGAGTCTACAACCCACACAAGTGGCTCAGGTAGTGCAGCTCATCCAGGATGGCACATCAATGCGAGCTGTGGCAAGAAGGTTTGCTGTGTCTGTCAGCGTAGTGTCCAGAGCATGGAGGCGCTACCAGGAGACAGGCCAGTACATCAGGAGACGTGGAGGAGGCCGTAGGAGGGCAACAACCCAGCAGCAGGACTGCTACCTCCGCCTTTGTGCAAGGAGGAGCAGGAGGAGCACTGCCAGAGCCCTGCAAAATGACCTCCAGCAGGCCACAAATGTGCATGTGTCTGCTCAAACGGTCAGAAACAGACTCCATGAGGGTAGTATGAGGGCCCGACGTCCACAGGTGGGGGTTGTGCTTACAGCCCAACACCGTGCAGGACGTTTGGCATTTGCCAGAGAACACCAAGATTGGCAAATTCGCCACTGGCGCCCTGTGCTCTTCACAGATGAAAGCAGGTTCACACTGAGCACATGTGACAGACGTGACAGACTCTGGAGACGCCGTGGAGAACGTTCTGCTGCCTGCAACATCCTCCAGCATGACCGGTTTGGCGGTGCGTCAGTCATGGTGTGGGGTGGCATTTCTTTGGGGGGGCCGCACAGCCCTCCATGTGCTCGCCAGAGGTAGCCTGACTGCCATTAGGTACCGAGATGAGATCCTCAGACCATTGTGAGACCATATGCTGGTGCGGTTGGCCCTGGGTTCCTCCTAATGCAAGACAATGCTAGACCTCATGTGGCTGGAGTGTGTCAGCAGTTCCTGCAAGAGGAAGGCATTGATGCTATGGACTGGCCCGCCCGTTCCCCAGACCTGAATCCAATTGAGCACATCTGGGACATCATGTCTCGCTCCATCCACCAACGGCAGGTTGCACCACAGACTGTCCAGGAGTTGGCGGATGCTTTAGTCCAGGTCTTGGAGGAGATCCCTCAGGAGACCATCCGCCACCTCATCAGGAGCATGCCCAGGCGTTGTAGGGAGGTCATACAGGCACGTGGAGGTCACACACACTACTGAGCCTCATTTTGACTTGTTTTAAAGACATTACATCAAAGTTGGATCAGCCTGTAGTGTGGTTTTCCACTTAAATTTTGAGGTTGACTCCAAATCCAGACCTCCATGGGTTGATAAATTTGATTTCCATTGATCATTTTTGTGTGATTTTGTTGTCAGCACATTCAACTATGTAAAGAAAAAAGTATTTAATACAATTATTTAATTCATTCAGATCTAGGATGTGTTATTTTAGTGTTCCCTTAATTTTTTTGAGCAGTGTATATTCTTCTAATGCGCTTGTGCTGACAGTCAGTTTTGAGACTTCTCATGAGATGGTGTTGTGAAAACTTGGCACTGAGTTAAAAACAACTCTCCCTTACACTGATTCTGTTGCAAAATGTTTTGTCTGTTGCAAACCGTTTACTCCAAACGGAAACCGTTTTGCAACGAATTTGGTCAAATTCAGGTTTCATTCAATTTGCTCTGTTTGCTTCCGTTTGGTTCATAAACGGTAAATGGTTTCTGCTGCACGACATAATTAAAAAATGTGTATGTGACCAACACAACTTGATTTGATTTGATTAATACACCCATGGACTGAGAAAAAGCCCGTTATGTGTCAGACAGCATGGCCGCATGACAGCGAGGGGGACAGAGAAACATTTCTGTCTCCACCAATGGAAATGGTGTTCTATTCTATTTCATTCTAGTCCAGTCACTATAGATTCAATAACTATTATATTTTACTCTACTCATAATAATACATAATAATAATTTATTACATTTATATAGCGCTTTCATAATAGAAATCTCAAAATGCTTCACAAGCAAAAAAAAATTTTAAAGGACAGGTCTGGTCAAGCAATAGATGCCAAGTCTCTGAATGCTGCATCCTCTGCAGATGGGTTGAGGCGTCTACTCTACTCATATGTTGACATGTGTCCTACCTCTGTGTAGAAGTCTTTGACCAGCGGTGAGGAGCAGGTGTGCAGGACAGTGTTGATGCTGGGTTGAAAGTCTGGTTCCACGGTGTTGATGGCCCTCAGCACCATGTCCCTCTCATCCTGCCTGAACACACAGAGACTGAACAGCTCTTCCACACGCAGGCCATCCTCTTTCATCTGACGCAGAACCCTGAGGACAAAGACAGGAACCACAATGTCAGAGACAAGATAGCAAACCTCAGTATTTCCTACAGAGTTGCATTTTGCCATAGGCCTATTTCTTTCAAATATCCATTACTTACAGATGACACAAGAGCCTTGGGGATGGATAAAGGCAATGGATGGATTACAAGTGTTGATAATCTTTAGGTAATATTATCTTAATTGCTTGAAGTAAAAAGTTAGGAATGCACTTTCATCCGCATAAAAAAACATAGAAGTAAACTTTTTGACCTTGGTCTTCATAAGGTGAATGGGCCCTAATATCTGATCTAGTTTACTGAGGCCCCATGGTGACTTCATTATATTTAAAACACCTCCGATATCATTATGCATGGCTTTATTACGCTGAATGACAATGTCAGCATAACAAACATAATATTTGCCCCAGAAGTATTGGAAATATTAGGCAGTCCACAGACAGATGGTCATGGAGAACGTCGATGTCATGCTTATTCAAATGATGTCATCCAGAGACTCCACACCTGCCATGAATGGACTGTTCAATTCAGGAGATAGCAATGTGCACACAGCCAGTGGAATACAGAATGTAGTGTATGGAGCAACAACTGAAGCTGAAAAGGGAGGGAGGCTAATTCAAAGCGGACCGTTGGATAACCGATGGAGCCTTTGTGAACAAAACAAGAGACAAAGTTGAAGTGTACTACTAAGCTAAGTCAACCTGAATGTCTGAGAAGAAGCATGTTATGTGTCAGACAGCATGGCAGGGAGAGGGCCAAAGAGACACATTGCTGTCTCCAATAATGGAAATAATGTTCTATTCTATTTCATTCTAGTCGAGTTACTATAGATTCAAGAATGATTCTATTTTCCTCTACTCATGGGATGAGGTGTCTACCCTATTCTACTCTTGGGTAAACGTATCCTATATGTGACTGTTTCAGAGCACTGTATGGATGCTTAACATATCTGCCATCTGTCAATAGGTAGGAAAAGTTAGGTTGTGGCATGTGATGTGTAACACCTCGATGTAACCCAGAGACAGAGGGCCATGGTGGGCTTATGTGTTAGCACTGCCCTCTAGTGGAGTAAGAGAGAACACTGCGACACTGTGACAGACAAACGGATGGGGTATTGGAGGGGGGAAGATTTGTCATCAATGAGAGAATATTCCTTTGCCCTCCACACCTTTCTGCAAGACAGTAATTAAATAACAAGACCTTAATTACCTTGTGCTGGAAATCCTGCTTAAATGTGCCCTTGAGCAAGGCACTTAACCCTAATTGCTCATGTAAGTCGCTCTGGATAAGAGCGTCTGCTAAATGACTATAAAAAAATAATTAAAAAAACACCCATCAGCCCCTCATCAGACTAACACAATTAGCAGCGTCCATCCACACAGCCACCACTCCAGTTAAATTCTCCAGGCATTCACAGAACCAAACAGAACCAAACATTTTTGTGTCACCCTGATTTCTTTGCATGTTTTGGGTATCGTTAAAATACTTCTGGTCAGGAGCGACAGATTGAATTGGCTTTTAAAGTCTTCTCCCTGTACTGTTTAATATGTCATTTTCTCAGCCTTGTTCTCTCAGTGTTGTCTGGAGGAACAAAGAGACTGGAGAGAGAGGCGGGGATAACACTGCTATCAGCCCACGCAGTGTAGATCAGCACAGGGAGCTGACAAGTGTACACCAAGAAAACGATGATGATGATGGAGATATATATACAGTGGGGGAAAAAGTATTTAGTCAGCCACCAATTGTGCAAGTTCTCCCACTTAAAAAGATGAGAGAGGCCTGTAATTTCCATCATAGGTACACGTCAACTATGACAGACAAAATTAGAATTTTTTTTCCAGAAAATCACATTGTAGGATTTTTAATGAATTTATTTGCAAATTATGGTGGAAAATAAGTATTTGGTCAATAACAAAAGTTTCTCAATATTTTGTTATATACCCTTTGTTGGCAATGACACAGGTCAAACGTTTTCTGTAAGTCTTCACAAGGTTTTCACACACTGTTGCTGCTATTTTGGCCCATTCCTCCATGCAGATCTCCTCTAGAGCAGTGATGTTTTGGGGCTGTCGCTGGGCAACACGGACTTTCAACTCCCTCCAAAGATTTTCTATGGGGTTGAGATCTGGAGACTGGCTAGGCCACTCCAGGACCTTGAAATGCTTCTTATGAAGCCACTCCTTCGTTGCCCGGGCGGTGTGTTTGGGATCATTGTCATGCTGAAAAACCCAGCCACATTTCATCTGCAATGCCCTTGCTGATGGAAGGAGGTTTTCACTCAAAATCTCACGATACATGGCCCCATTCATTCTTTCCTTTACACGGATCAGTCGTCCTGGTCCCTTTGCAGAAAAACAGCCACAAAGCATGATGTTTCCACCCCCATGCTTCACAGTAGGTATGGTGTTCTTTGGATGCAACTCAGCATTCTTTGTCCTCCAAACACGACAAGTTGAGTTTTTACCAAAAAGTTATATTTTGGTTTCATCTGACCATATGACATTCTCCCAATCCTCTTCTGGATCATCCAAATGCACTCTAGCAAACTTCAGACGGGCCTGGACATGTACTGGCTTAAGCAGGGGGACACGTCTGGCACTCCCTGGTGGCGTAGTGTGTTACTGATGGTAGGCTTTGTTACTTTGGTCCCAGCTCTCTGCAGGTCATTCACTAGGTCCCCCCGTGTGGTTCTGGGATTTTTGCAATGCAATAAAATGCAATTGAATTACTTAAAAATCATAAAATGTGATTTTCTGGATTTTTGTTTTAGATTCCGTCTCTCACAGTTGAAGTGTACCTATGATAAAAATTACAGACCTCTACATGCTTTGTAAGTAGGAAAACCTGCAAAATCGGCAGTGTATCAAATACTTGTTCTCCCCACTGTATATATATATATATATAGAGAGAGAGAGAGGAAGCTGAATTGAGCTAGCTGAAGCTAAACTTTAGTTGTGTAGGAATGAGATTTGCTTTAAAAGGACGCTAGTCGCCAGGCACAGTGCCACTGTGGACAATGGCAACCATATCAGGCCAGGAGATACAGTACGGCCAGAGACAGAAAGAGAGAGGGGGAACTGGAGACGGACAGGGGAAGGGGAGGAAGAACAGCGTGAGAGAAAGATGTAATGGCTGGGCTGAAGAGTGAGCAAGAAAGCACCACCGCAAAACAACAAATGTCATTGGTATCACCATACAGTGATCGATGGACCAACCAGCTGGCCCTATCCACCCCTACTGCTCTGCAACCTGCTCTGTCATTGGGCCACGCTGCATAGGGTGATATCCTCAGGGGGAACAGTAGAGTAGGGAGGGATAGCTGGAGACAAGAGGGTCAGCATCATGATAGTCTGAAAGACCACTTGAAAGGAAAACATAACTTTCACCACAACCACAGACTGACCAAGGGTCAACTCAGGATTCTCTGCAGTGACTCTGTATTCAAACAAACTGCAGTTCTACACAACAAGGCTAGAAACCAAATCTGATAGAACAGTCTTTGTGTTATGAATTCCAATAATTTTACCAGCCAGTTTTTGCAGATACATTTCTTAAATGTCCTTTTGAATGAATTAGCCTAACGTCCTAGTCAGCACATTGACATTGACAAATTGAGTTTCACCAAGCCTCCAAATAGTCTGTGTTATTTCCTTGTCCAATAAGCATCATCAAATTACTGACAGCAGGCTGTTAACAGCCAAACACATACAGTATCAATCACAATCCATTTGGGCTGACTGAAATCCATTTGGCCCCGTCTCTGTATAGTCAGTCAGCAGATTGGCCAACATCAGATAGGGACATTCATTAAGATAGACCAAGTCCTGGGAGAGCTAGAAGTTACATATGGCGATGTTTCATAATAAAAAAAGTATAATAACAAAAATAAATAAATAATATATTTTGACAGGGAGTCATACTGAGACTAGGGTCTCTTTCACAGATGAGCCGTGTATTCACATCAATACACATCAATATACACACATCCAAAAATTGAATCAAATCAAATGTAAAAAAAAAAACATTAGATAAAAAAAACATAAGAAATAAAAGTAACAAATAATTAAAGAGCAGCAGTAAAATAACAGTAGCGAGGTTATATACAGGGGGTACCGGTACCGAGTCAATGTGCGGGGGCACCAGTTAGTCGAGGTAATTGAGGTAATGTGTGCCTCCATTCAAAATTTTATGCAATAAATCTGTCTGGAGGAAGCATGCAGTCACTGACACTGCTACTGGCCTAAACTCAATATCACTCATCATTGGAGACTTCTCATTCAGAATGCCTTACGTACTGACCACCATCCATTCTGCTGTCCTTGAGGAGAAAAGGCTAGATTGAATGAGTCACCTGGATGAGACAGTAGCTGCTATCCTGACACTCATCAACTACTCTGCTACAGTATTCACAACTTCCCAAGCTTCCGTTCAGTTGGTCAAGAGTCGAGACAGTTGAAAACACTACATAGCAGGAGCATAGAAAGATATGCCAGAAGGTTGAATTGACCATTGATAAAACAACATGGTGAAGGATGTGCAGATAATAACCAGTCCACTTGAAAACACTTTCCTCCACTTGGTTACTGTGGAGACCACAATAGGCCCATAGATAGTGATGGAGGAGAGCAGGAAATGAGGGGTCAGGGAGGCTGGACTACAACACTTGTCCTGCCCAGTGCCTCCTCACTTCCAGGAAAGACGCTTCGCTGGCACCCATAACACCTCTCCACACACAGCTGGCCCACGTGCTCAGCCCTCAACAATGCCCCAGTCAACAACGTATTACAGGAACTATAATGGCAGCTTCCTCTAGACTAGAGGGTATTGAGTGGCCAGGTGCTAGCCAGGGTAGAGCGGTAGAAAAAAATAAGGCCAGAAATGTTGATGATCTCATATTTAAACAGTGTTGAAATCCCAGTATGTCTAGACACGCTCGTTAACACTGGATCACAGAGGAAGCTAGAATAAAGAGAAACATGAACCGCAAAGCTAATAGGAGAGTCTGACATCTAGTGGGAAACTCTGGCTACACATGCACTGGCCATCTAGTAATGATCATCCAAGACAACAACCAATTCTCTTACACATTCTAAGCCCACTTTCCAATGCAGTCTTGAAGGTCTGGGCATTGTTTTGTTTTACAGTCAAATACTATCATATTTACCTAATGTCAAAAAGTTCCAGATGAACCTAGAGTTACAGTAATGAGTTAAGGTCTGTAAATGGCTGTGTCTGTGGGTTAGCCTACCTGTTGATGACCTTTGGAGAACAGTTAGGGGTTCGGCCCATACACTCCAATGCAGCACAGTAGGAGCTGAGGTTAGGCTTCAGACCTGCCTCTTCTACCAGAATGAACATACGCCCAATCTGGTTCAAAGAGCCCTGTAGTTGTCCACATGGAGAATAAGGAGGTAATGCAGAATTTCTACACAAGTCTCTAAAATGTATTAGAATTCTACAATTCTAATACAAGAGTGAGCAGCACTTACCTTTTTGGCCCAGACCCTCATCATGATGTTGTAGAGTCCTATGTTGAGCAGGTTGCGCCGGCTGATCATGCGGTGGTGAGTGAGCAGGAGGTGGTGGGCTCGGTCGATGTCGCCACAGAACACACAGGCCTCCAGGTAGCACTGCACACTAGTCTGGACGTCCCTGTACACCCCGTCCTCGCTGTTATCCTGCACGAGCTTCGGGCTGGCTGACATAGCCCACTGGTTAAGCTTCCTCTCTAACTTCTCCACCTCAGCCATCTCCTGGGCCTTGGCCTCTGCCTTCCTCTCCAGCTCAGCCAGCTCCTGGTCCCTGGCCTCAGCCTCAGACAACTCAGGAGCTGGCTCCTTTGAGGCTTTCCCCTTTCGTTTGGCTTTTCTAATAAGCACAGTTGCAGCAGCAACCGGTGCAGCTGCCACAGTTGGCTCTTGGTTTTTCAGAGTCTTGCTCTTTTTAGAGGTTGATGCAGTCTTTTTTCCTGCTTTTGTCAATATGTTTTTTTGTGAGGTACCTGGTAGCATTAGTTTGCCTTTTCTGCTTTTCACAGGTTTATTCTCTATGCCTAGCTTCTGCTTCAGTTTCTTTGTTTTAGTCTTCTTCTCCTGACTCAGTTTCTCCATCCAGCGGGATTTGGAGGCTGAAGCATCTTTGCCCCCTCCCTTACCAGTCTGTCCCCCTCCCTTACTAATAGTCTGTCCCACCGTGGGCACCTCAGTCCTCTCCCCAGAACATTTTTTGTGACTCTTCCCTGAAGAAGCCCCTCTCCCTGACTTGGTAGCTTTGACAAATTGTACCTTTGCATGTTGGACATCTAGAACGATGTCAGATTGGAGTTGCTGGATTCTGGCTTCAAGCACTGCAAAACAAAATGGGAGAGAGAAAATACTAGCATTGTGATATAATAGAAAACAAACATATAAAAGCATTTGAGGGATCACATGCATGATAAAAGGAATTCATTACAAACCATCTAACAGCTGAGATTGTTCCCATACTCGTTTTTTACCATCCTCTTTCTTTGGGATCAGAGCTGAGACATGTCTTCGTTGTGATGTCCATGGTGGCTCTGTTAGAAGACGGTTGTGAGCATTACTTTGACAAAAACAGAGAATTACTATATATACAGTACCAGTCAAAAGTTTGGACACACCTACTCATTCAAGGGTTTTTCTTTATTTTTACTATTTTCTACATTCTAGAATAATAGTGAAGACATCAAAACTATGAAATAACACATATGGAATCATGTGGTCCTCTGTAGCTCTGCTGGTAGAGCACGGCGCTTGTAACACCAAGGTAGTGGGTTCGATCCCCGGGACCACCCACACACAAAAATGTTTTTATGCGCGCATGACTGTAAGTCGCTTTAGATAAAAGTGTCTGCTAAATGGCATATTATATTATATTATGTAGTAAGCAACAAAGTGTTTAACAAACCAAAATATATTTTATATTTGAGATTCTTCAAAGTAGCCACCCTTTGCCTTGATGACACCTTTGCATTCTCTCAACCAGCTTCATGAGGTAGTCACCTGGAATGCATTTCAATTAACAGGTGTGCCTTGTTAAAAGTTAATTTGTGGAATTTCTTTCCTTCTTAATGCGTTTCTGCCAATCAGTTGTGTTGTGACAAGGTAGGGGTGGTTTACAGAAGATATCCCTATTGGGTAAAAAACCAAGTCCATATTATAGCAAGAACAGCTCAAATAAGCAAAGAGGAACTTTAAGACATGAAGATCAGTCAGTACGGAACATTTCAAGAATTTTAAAAGTTTCTTCAAGTGCAGTCGCAAAAACCATCAAGTGCTATGATGAAACTGGCTCTCATGAGGACCACCACAGGAAAGGAAGACCCAGAGTTACCTCTGCTGCAGAGGATAACTTAATTAGAGTTAACTGCACTTCAGATTGCAGCCCAATTAAATGCTTCACAGAGTTCAAGTAACAGACACATCTCAACATCAACTGTTCAGAGGAGACTGCGTGAATCAGGCCTTCGTGGTCGAATTGCTGCAAAGAAACCACTGCTAAAGGACACCAATAAGAATAAGAGACTTGCTTCTACATCTGCATTGCTTGCTGTTTGGGGTGTTAGGCTGGGTATCTGTATAGCACTTTGTGACATCTGCTGATGTAAAAAGGGCTTTATAAATCAAATTTGATTGATTGATTGATTGACTTGCTTGGGCCAAGAAACATGAGCAATGGACATTAGACAGGTGGAAATCTGTCCTTTGGTCTGATGAGTCGAAATGTGAGATTTTTGGTTCCAACCGCCGTGTCTTTGTGAGACGCATAGTAGGTGAACAGATGATCTCCACATGTGTGGTTCCCACCGTGAAGCATGGAGGAGGAGGTGTGATGGTGTGGGGATGCTTTGCTGGTAACACTGTCTGTGATTTTTTTTAGAATTCAAGGCACACTTAACCAGCATGGTTACCACAGCATTCTGCAGCGATACGCCATCCCATCTGGTTTGCGCTTAGTGGGACTATCATTTGTTTTTCAACAGGACAATGACCCAAAACACACCTCCAGGCTGTGTAAGGGCTATTTGACCAAGAAGGAGAGTGATGGAGTGCTGCATCAGATGACATGGCCTCCACAATCACCCAACCTCAACCCAATTGAGATAAGTTGGACTGGAGTGAAGGAAAAGTAGCCCACAAGTACTCAGCATATGTGGGAACTCCTTCATGACTGTTGGAGAAGCATTCCTCATGAAGCTGGTTGAGAGAATGCCAAGAGTGTGCAAAGCTGTCATCAAGGCAAAGGGTGGCTACTTTGAAGAATCTCACATATAAAATATATTTTGATTTGTTTAACACTTTTTTGGTTACTACATTATTCCATATGTGTTATTTCATAGTTTTGATGTCTTCACTATTATTCTACAATGTAGAAAATAGTAAAAAATAAAGAAAAACCCTTGAATGAGTAAGTGTGTCCAAACTTTTGACTGGTACTGTATATGTGCAAAAACATTTTTTGCAGGCAATATTTTAGGGTGGGCCCAGGCTCCTTAGGCAGAAGCATGTGGACGTCAATTAGTACATGAACCAGGGGTGGTCGGTCAGGGATTTTACCCTATGACAACAATGTCAGTTTGCAACAAGCTATTGCTCACGTATACCCTTTAATCAAATATTATTGGAAAGCTTGCATTCACAGTTATCCATCAAACATATTTTTGGAATGTTCAGGTCAACAGTAATTTGATCTTTGACCTCATACATATCAAAATTACCTGTATAAATGGCTTTTAAAATGAAACCCTGATACATTTTAAACTTTGTTTGACAAGTGGTTCTGAAAGATCATGAAACTACCTTTCAAATTATATATAATATAGCCAACTTTGAAAGCACCAGCTACAACTACTGTTTAAAAATTGACCATATTGTGCCATTGCCATTAGAATGTTGGAAGCGTAGCCATAAAGTTCCATGTAATGTGGCAGCAATGTTTGGGGATTTTAACTTTGGTGGCAGAGGCACCAAATTGCACACACACAGCTAGAACAGGGTTTTTAATAGATTTGTAGATACAGGGCCATCACAGAATTCACCCATTAACCCCACAGAAGCCTTTTTCCAATATGTCCACCATACAATTCAATGGGGTCTTATTGGACAACGCCACATGATCATACCTGTATGAAATACAATTGTAGTATGCCCAGAAATATATTGAAATGTTCAAAGCAATGTATAATTATTTAACATCCTTATATATATAGCACACCTGGCTCATGTGGTTGTGTATTATACATCACTATTAACATTTCAATATATTTTTGGGCATACTACAATTATATTTCATACAGGTACAGTCATGCGAAATTGTGAAATAAGAGCCCATTGAGTTGTTTGGCAGCCATATTGGAAAGGGCTTCTGTGGGGCTAATGAGTGAATTCTGTGATAGACCTGTATCTACACATCTTTTTAAACCCTGTTCTTGCTCTGTATGTGCAATTTGGTGCCTATTTCACCAAAGTTACAATCCAAAAACATAGCTGCCCTATTACATGGATTTCTATGGCTAAGCTCCCAACATTCTAATGTCAATGGCACAATATTGGCGATTTTTAAACAATAGCTGTAGCTGGTGCTTTCAAAGTTGGTTATATTACATATCATTTGAAAGGTAATTTCATGACCTTTCAGAACCACTTGTCATACAAAGTTTTAAATGTATCAGGGTTTCTGTTTTAAAGCCATTTAAACGGGTAATTCTGATATATACCCTAGAGGTAAAACAATTCTGTTAACCTGAACTTTCTGAAAATGTGTCTGATGGATAATTGTGAATCTAAAATGTCCAATGATTAAAGGATATAAGCGAGCAATAGCTTGTTGTATACTGCCATAGTTTGTCATAGGCTTACCTGGTTAAATAAAGGTGGGGGGAAAATGAATGTGATGGAGGAATGAAATAAAGACTGATAACACAGAGAAAGCTGCCATTGCTGCACTGCTATGACACATTTTCCAACTATAGGGACATGGACCTTCAAAACAAATCACTATGAGACATGACAGCCCAAATGTGGGGGTCTGGCTCATGGACAAAATGTGCTATTTCAAAACATTCCAACTCATAGGTAGATGGTTGACTTGAGTCAAGTAATTTGCCATTTAGTACGGATTAGCAAAGTCTTGAAAATAAATGTATATATTGGCATTTTCATCAGCCAACGACCTCTGATGTAAGTAATGTAACGTCACCCATGATATGATCGCTAGCTAACAACTGTTTCAAAGTTAACTAGCTAGCTACATGGCTACAAAAACCACGACAGGATTGAGGGGGTGGCTGGTCAGTTAATTTAGCTAACGTTACAAACAAGCTGTATACATTGAGATATATCACAAGTGATATTCAGTGCGCGTTCCAGGTCTGACAGCACTGTCTGAATTATGAATTCTGCATGTTTGAGCACCCGTCCCGTTGACTTAACTTAGCTAGAGCGAGGGACAACACAAGATATACCTGATATTCGTCTTTCAACGTTATTCCGGTGTGTAAGAAAGTAGTGGCAACGGTCAGCATTTGACACACGACGAACACTTATTTCCAACAGTATTCGACCACTCAGACACTTTGGTAAGGCACACAGTCTCAAAAGTGACATGTTTACATAATAACCGCATTACACTTCTCCACACTAGGCTGCCATCTTGAATTAGACAAAGCTAATCGAACACAAAGGCGCAGAGTACAGGCACAGATAGAAGACTACTAATATATCGAAGTGTAGATTTTGAAACAAGACAGTGATGTTTATGTATTGAAAGGAGTGTAGAATATTATTTGTTAAAGAAATATAAATGTAAATATTCAATTTGTGCAATTTGTACTGAGTGTACAAAACATTAGGAACACCTTTCTAACAGGGGCGGTGTGTTCATTAGGGCGATATGGGCGACGCACTGCCAAACGGGAAAAGGAAGGGATTTTTTTCTAATCCATTATATCACGGCAACAGTAGTTATCAGTGTTCTAATCTAGACGTCTGATCTGCCACTAAATGTCCAATCAGGCTAAAGTCGTGCTTCAAATGGCCCCGCCCCTTTTGGGGCGATTTCAGTCAGGTTGAAAATCGCCCAGGGGTCTCTCATAGACTATCATGTAAAATCAATTTTTTTCAAATATCAGAGCTTTCAATACAATCTCTATGGGTTTCTGAGGGCTTGCACTTACACGCTTTCGTCATACGTAACATAACCATGAACGTAACTAAGAAAAGAGCGGGTAGCAGCGTCAATCAATTCACGTACTACTATCAACATGGCTAGCGTTCAGTGCAACTCGATTGTCTCTTTGAAAGAAGTTCACATCAAAGACCATTCAAAACGAGCTACTGGAGTGTATGCTAGCGGTCATGAGGGAACATATTGTGGAGGAGGTGAAGTCGGCGAACTTCGTAGCTATCCAAGCTGACGAGACCACGGACGTTTCTACACAGACACAGCTGGTGCTTGTGCTGAGGTACATAGATAGCAACCACAAAGTGCAGGAGCGCTTTTTTGAGTTCCTTCCCATCTCGGAATCAACCTCAGTCTCAATCGCCAGTGTGCTTTTGGAGAGACTGAACGGTCTTTTTGCCGACGACGTGAAAGTCAAACTGTGGTGCACTGGCACTGTACCAGGTTCTCATGAGCTACAACCTCCAGGAGACGTTCTCTGAGACTGTGACTCTGTTGAACATCCTCATAACTACTCCCATGACAACAGCTGAAGCTGAGAGATGTTTCTCAACTTTGACACGAGTTAAGACATTCCTGCGAAATTCAATGGGCCAGGAACGTCTGAATGCACTGGCCATGCTTTCCATGGAGAGGGAACTAGTCCTCAGCATGCCTGATTTCAATGAGAAAGTCATTGACCGCTTTGCTGCATTGAAAGAGAGAAGAGAACAGTTTCAGTACAAGTAATGTAGCCTCTCTCTCTCTTTGTCCCTCCCTGTCTGTCTCTTTAACACACACACGCCCAAATCAGTTCACAGTTGATGTTGTTTAAAATAGTTATTTTTCATTTTAAAAAAAGTAAAAAAATAATAATAATCTGTTCATGTTCATTTTTACAAATCTATACAATTGGCCAGAATATGGTTGTTCATATTTACAAATCTATACAATTGGCCAGAATATGGTTGTTCATTTTTACAAAGCCATACAGATAGCTGTGTTTACCTTTTTCTAGAAATTATTTTCAAATTCTGTTTTCAGGCAAAATGTCTATCACTGTTCATTTTCACAAATCTATACAAGAGGGCAGAATATGGAAGTCTATAAAAATGTCTTATTACCAATAACTTGCATCAATGTTTTCAGTAGCCTCCATCAAAAGCTCCTGCTTGCTTGTTGTGAATTATGCTCAGGTGCACATATTTCCAATTCAACCATGAGGCAAAAAATTTGGTAAAAGCTCTTGTTGATCCTGCAATCTGAACAAATACCAAGATGCTGTATTTTCAGCTGATATTTCATTTGTTTATGGAAATGCATATTGTTTATGCAGTGTTGAGGAATGTGAAAGAACACCCTTGATTATTTTTACTGTGATAACTTATTTTGCTTTTGTAAGCCAACACTTTTGAGATCAGTCAATAAATGCTTCTGGCATTGACTTATATGCTGCCCCTGTCTTCATGTTGTTGCTGGACATATCTTTTTTTAAATGTGTGTAGGTCACCTAAATCATCAGAAAAATTGCCCCCCCTGAGAATTTTTTCAGGAGCCGCCACTGCTTTCTAATATTGCGTTGAACACCCTTTGGCCCGCAGAACAGCCTCAATTCATTGGGGCATGGACTCTACAAGGTGTCGAAACAGTTGTGTCAAGTTGGCTGGATGTCCTTTGGGTGGTGGACCATTCTTGATACACATGGGGAACTGTTGAGGGTGAAAACCCGGCAGCGTTACAGTTCTTGACACACACAAACCGGTGCTCCTGGCACCTACTACCATACTCAGTTCAAAGTCACTTAAATATTTTGTCTTGCCCAGTCACCGTAGGAATGGTACACATACACAATCCATGTCACTTGGGCTCCCGAGTGGCTCAGCGGTCTAAGGCACTGCATCTCAGTGCTTGAGGTATCACTACAGACCCCCTGGTTCGATTCCAGGCTGTATCACAACCGGCCATGATTGGGAGTCCCATAGGGCGGTGCACAATTGGCCCAGCGTCGTCCGGGTTTGGCCGGTGTAGGCCGTCATTGTATATAAGAATTTGTCTTGCCTAGTTAAATAAAAAAATGTCTCAAGGCTTAAAAATAATTATTTAACCTGTCTCCTCCCCTTCAACTATACTGATTGAAGTGGTTTTAACAGGTGACATCAATAATGGATCAGAGCTTTCACCTGGATTCACCTGGCCACTATGTCATGGAAAGAGCAGGTGTTCGTAATGTTTTCTATACTCAGTGTATATGAAACATGTGTTTAAAGGCTCAGTGGAGTCAAAAAATATATATAATTGTATTCGTCACATGCTCCGAATACAACAGGTGCAGTAGACCTTACCGTGAAATGCTTACTTACAAGCCCTTAACCAACAATGAAGTTCAAGGAATAGAGTTAAGAAAATATTTACTAAATAAACTAAAGTAAAAAATAAGATAAAAAGTAAAACAATAAAATAACAATAACGAGGCTATATACAGGGGGTACCGGTACTAAGTCAATGTGCGGGGGTACAGGTTAGTCAAAGTAATTTGTACATGTAGGTAGGGGTAAAGTGTCAATGCATAGATAATAAACAGCAAGTAGCAGCAGTGTAAAATCAAAGGGGGGGTGAGTGTCAATGTAAATTGTCCGGGTGGCCATTTCATTAATTGTTCAGCAGTCTTATGGCTTTGGGGTAGAAGCTGTTAAAGAGACTTTTGGACCTAGACTTGGCGCGCCGGTATCGCTTGCCGTGCGGTAGCAGAGAGAACAGTCTATGACTTGGGTGACTGGTCTTTGACCATTTTTTGGACCTTCCTCTGACACCGCCTAGTATATAGGTCCTGGACGGCAGGAAGCTTGGCCTCAGTGATGTACTGGGCCGTACGCACTACCCTCTGTAGCGTCTTACGGTCGGATGCCTAGCAGTTGCCATACCAGGCGGTGATGCAACCGGTCAGGATGCTCTCGATGGTGCAGCTGTATAACTTTTTGAGGATCTGGAGACATTTGCATTACATTTTAGTCATTTAGCAGACGCTCTTATCCAGAGCGACTTACAGTTAGTGAGTGCATCAATTTTTCATACCCATGCCAAATCTTTTCAGTCTCCTGAGGGGGAAAGGGGTTGTCGTACCCTCTTCACGACTGTCTTGGTGTATTTGGACCATGATAGTTTGTTGGTGATGTGGACACCAAGGAACTTGAAACTCTCGACCCGCTCCACTACAGCCCCGTCAATGTTATTGGGGGCCTGTTCAGCCCTCCATTTCCTGTAGTCCACAATCAGCTCGTTTGTCTTGCTCATATTGAGGGAGAGGTTGTTGTCCTGGCACCACATTGCCAGGTCTCTGACCTCCTCCCTATTGGCAGTCTCATCGTTGTCGGTGATCAGGCCTACCACTGTTGTGTCGTCAGCAAACTTAATGATGGTGTTGGAGTCGTGCTTGGCTACGCAGTCGTGGGTGAACAGGGAGTACAGGAGGAGACTATGCACGCACCCCTGAGGGGCCCCAGTGTTGAGGATCAGCGTGGCAGATGTGTTGTTGCCTACCCTTACTACCTGGGGGCCAGTTGCAGAGGGAGGTGTTTAGTCCCAAGGTCCTTAGCGTAGTGATGAGCTTTGAGGACACTATGGTGTTGAACGCTGAGCTGTAGTCAATGAACAGCATTCTCACATAGGTGTTCCTTTTGTCCAGGTGGGCAAGGGCAGTGTGGAGTGCGATTGAGATTGCGCCATCTGAGTATCTGTTGGGGCGGTATGCGAATTGGAGTGAGTCTAGGGTTTCCGGGATGATGGTGTTGATGTGAGTCATGACCAGCCTTTCAAAGTACTTCATGGCTACCGACGTGAGTGCTACGGGGCGGTAGTCATTTAAGCAGGTTACCTTCGCTTTCTTGGGCACAAGGACTATGGTGATCTGCTTGAAACATGTAGGTATTACAGACTCGGTCAGGGAGAGGTTGAAAATGTCAGTGAAGACACTTGCCATTTGGTCCGCGCATTCTCTGAGCACACGTCCTGGTAACCCGTCTGGCCCCGCAGCCTTTTGAATGTTGACCTGTTTAAAGGTCTTGCTCACGTCAGCTACGGAGAGTGTGATCACACAGTCGTCCGGAACAGCTGTGCTCTCATGCACGCTTCAGTGTTGCTTTCCTTGACGCAAGCATAAAAGGCATTTAGCTCGTCTGGTAGGCTCGCGTCACTGGGCAGCTCGTGGCTGGGTTTCCCTTTGTAGTCCTTAATAGTTTGCAAGCCCTACCACATCTGACGAGCGTGTAGTAGGATTCAATCTTAGTCCTGTATTGATGCTTTGCCTGTTTGATGGTTCATCTGAGGGCATAGCGGGACTTCTTATAAGATTCCGGATTAGTGTCCCGCTCCTTGAAAGCGGACGCTCTAGCCTTTAGCTCAGTGCGTTTGTGGCCTATAATCCATGGCTTCTGGTTGTGATATGTTCGCACGGTCACTATGTGGACGACATCGTCGATGCACTTATTGATGAAGCCGGTGAC